GGGGGCATGGTAAGGGTTTACATTACAACATAGTGAACGGTGAAGAGAAAAAGTCAGTAGGGGTTTATTACTGGCTCTGTCACCATACAACAACTAGGGGGTCATACCAGGAAACTACTAGGTAGTAAGTTTAAAACTAACAAAAGGAAGTTCTTTTTCATACAGCAGGTAATTAGAGTGTGAAATTAATTGCCACAAGACATTGGGGCAATTAAGCCAGATTCAAAAAGGGATTGGATATATTACTTTCGGAAAGGGGCATCAGTAGTGACCGAGCATGTGAATTAAGCGTACAGCCTCCAAATCAGAATTTCCTGGACCTTAAATGGTGGAATCTGCAAGTGGGAAAGGAACAGGGGAAAAGCCCTGGTCATACCCTGTTCACTGCCTCTCAGCATCCACTCTCAGACACGGGAGTCTGGGCAAGATGGATCTACAGTGTGACCCAGTCAAGGGCAGTTATGTTTTTATGTAACTATTTTACCTTGACATGAAATAACTATGTACAAAGCATCTTATGCAAAATTTTCTGATGCCAAAGTTTAAATTAGGACCCCAAACCCATATGTGTGCATCTGATTTCAGGACCTATCAATGACATCAGAAGTCAGGCCACTTATTTCAATGCATAGAATATAGCGTCAGAGCCTAACTTTAGACAGCATTAGGTTTGGACGTTAATGGACATTTATTCTTTATGGAGAACCCAAAGAATGCTGGCTCCTTGGATGCCAAGTGAGACGCTTCCTTCCTCAGCATTTTGAGTCTGTAAACCTGGTGATGGAGGAAGTCTTCCAGAAGCTCATTCAGAGATTTCTTTAAAGCTTCTCCCAAACTTCCCCAATTTGGTTGTAACGTAAGGAACGAGGGAAGAAAGACAACTAAGTTTTCAAAGCACCCGAGTCCCATGCTCAATACCTTACGAGCCACTGAAGAAAGGGCTGAGAGCCCAAATCCCTCCTGTCAATTTTCAACACAACTCAGGTCCCTAAAGCCAGAAAATGGGTGCTTAAATCATTAAGCATGAGACTTGGTGCTTTTGAAAAACATTGCCCTTTATGTCTCAACTATCAAGTCACTTCCTTCGGAGGTACCGCCAAACTCTTTAAACAATGGCTGATTTTATGTATCGTGTGTTTGGGCACTATAGGACATAACAGGATTAGAAGAGGATGGAGTTGTAGACACTAGCGAATTCCCTGTGGTTTAAGATGACCGGAGAGACTCGCATGCACTATTGTTGGAAAAGCTCGTTGCTCGTCACATTTTAAGATCGTCAACAGCATAACCAGATACTTCACCTCCACATGTCCACTGCTGGCACACAGAAAGCAGACCACCCTAGGAGTGATAGGTACCGAGGTCAAGATGCCTAATCCACCCATCTCCCAAACGTTCTCAACTTCACAGTCCTCCTGAAAGCACAGAAGTGTACACCATGCACAACAGAGAAACCCAACATCAAGGCAAACATAGAACAAAAAACCCCACCCCAACACAATGGTTGCTAGGCAGTGTTAACTGAGCAACTTCATTTTTAGAACAGCAAAAAAGTTCATCCCTTGAACCTATTCCTTACCCAATAACTAGTCTTCTCTCACTAATTCTTGCTATTAAATTGACCCACAATAAAATGACAGATTTGTGAATTAGTAAGCAGACTTAACGAGAACATCTCATAATACGCTCATTTTCACGAGTAAATTTTTTTAAATTATGTTGATCATTCATAGTTTAATAATTATGATACGGTAGTATTTTTTATAAAAACCCAAAATCTTAGTAATAGGAGACCACATTATAGTTTTAACTATTAAAACCTGTCTTCAGGAACTGAAAGAGAAATTGGTGCATTAGTCTTGAAGATGCAGTAGGAAAAAGTGTTCATTGTATTTCAGTGACCGATATTAAAAAAGCTGCAAGATTCAATAGTTAACTTAAAACCCCAGACAAAACTCCAAGGACTGCTGTGACTTAGGTAGGATTAATAAAGGTTTCAAAGTACATGGACTCAAGAGGCAGTCACAGTTTTACGTTTTTCTTGATGGAAATCGTTCCCTGAAAAGTTCATGTGTGCTTCCGTTTGTTGAGGATCAGTGTTTTGAATTACAGTACTCTCTTCATCGAATACAGAAATTGCAATTGTGAACAGAAAGTACACAAAAGGCTATTAGCAGAATGACTTTTCAGAGAGAAAAAAGGGTTCCTATACTACCTATTCATATTGTGGGATGGAGACCACTTAACCATCTCTAAGTTAAAAGCCAAGGGTATCGTTCCTGAGGGAAACCAACTGCAATGTTTGCTTACAGCCAATCACATTCACACCATTTCCTAAGACATCTGGACCATTACCTTAAAGTCCACTCTGATCCTGTGGACTCCATCTGTAAGCGGTTTTTGCTTGGAGCTGCTTCCGTTGGACAGAGTACTGAGCAAATTCAATGTGCTGCTCTCTGGCTTGCTGACTGGAGGGGGCTTTTCCTAGAAAGTCAATTTAAAAAACATTTATTCCAACACCAAATACTATCTATCTTAAAAAACAATAAATCAGGTTAAACAGAACAATGGTAATTCACATACAAAGAAAATTAGCTGATGTGATCTACAAAACACATAACTCAAAGTTGAGGCATAAAGGAGGTAAGTGAAGGAATCTGGCTCGGTAAAAAGCTTCAAATTTCTCCCTAAGGATAAGCAATGGAAAATTTGTCCTTTGTAAATGTATACGCAGATCTGGAATTTGAGTGGAAATCAGACTGCCCCCATCTTAGATTAATATTTCAGAAGCATGGAACAGAAGTAACTTCTGAATGAACTGAATTCTCAAGACAACTATTTACATGACGATCTTTCCTTAAATCATAGACAGCTCAAAAGCCAAGTCAAGGCTGCACATTTGTAACTGACAGAAGAAAGTAAGTGTCAAAGTCTTGTAATTTACTGAATATGCAGCACAAAATGCAGTACACCACCTTTTCTTTAGGTTTCTGTTTCACAGGGAAACTTGGACGGGGAGTGATTTTTTTCTGTTTGTTTTGCTCTGTGCCTAGGGAAGAAGAGAAAAATCATAAGTCAAGTTCTTGGAACTAAAAGCAACCTTTTGGAAAGAAGAGGAATAATACGCTCACGCAAATGCAGTTTTAGGCCCACACTTTACTATGGACAGCTTCCTTATTTGCAGCTGTCCACAATTCTCTCTGCCTTCAGCATCCTCCTAAACAGGGCAAACCTGCACTCCCGAAACCCACGTGACTCCCCAAAGTGCAACACATCCAACAGCAAAGCATTACCCTAAAACTGTGGTGTAAGAACCGTGCGTCTCACTTCGTAACATACACTGATTTTCTGGGGAGGAATTTTGCTCTGTCTGGCCCATTCAACTTTGTTACGTGCCACGTGGACAACAATAACAACAGTTTAACACTGTGGCAACTGCACTTTAAACTAGACAGTCCTTTGCATATACCATATTGTTCGATTATAAGTTGACTGAGCATATTTGCTGACACCACATTTTTCGGTTCAGTTTTAGGGAAAATGGCTCCTGCCCCCATCCCCTCCCCAAATAAGGTGATAAGTATACAAAATCCTTAAACTGCTGGTGCTTTTACAAACTCCTACAGGAGAGTCATACAACTAAAAAAAAGGACACAGAGGGGGAGGGAGGATGCACCAAACATACTAAAATAAAAAAAAAAAAAAACATACTGAAGTTAATTTAGTATTTTCAATGCTTGCACAAAAACATTGGCAGTATAAAAAACTCAAGATTGCTGGGGATCCCTATGACAGGGTGACCCTGCATATACATTGACTGCAATTTTTATGATTCTTTTGGAGGAAAAAAAAAATAGGCCGACTTATAAATGGAACAATACGGTACTAAGTTCTAGATCAAGAAATCTGATTTTAAAAATCAAACTTGCCATGAAATTTACTCTGGTTCACAAAGAATTTTCCAGTTTTACATTCCCTAAAAACATTCAATATTAAACAACCAGTTGCAACCTTTTACTCCAATGTCAGTTTTTAAAAGAGATGACTGGTTATTTTAATTAAATGTGTTCATTTACCTAATTCTGGCTGTGGAGTCTGCTTTTTCTTGGGCTCAGGAGGGACAGGTTTGGGCACTTCTTTCTTCAGTGGCCCTGAGCTAGGCAGCTGAGAAGAAGGGGGAACCTGCACTGGTTGGGGTGCCTGTTTGCCAGTTTTTCTGGAACCAGAAGCAGCAACCTGTTTGGACTCCGACACTGGGACAGAGGAGCCTCCCTCTTCGCTTTTCTCCTCACTGGGCTTTCGGGCAGGTTCACTGTTCTTCTTCAAGGCATTATCTTCTCTTGCGAGGACAGTGGGAGGAACTGGTTTCTGCCCGGAGTCTAACTGGTTCTTCCCAGAGTGGCTCTCTTTCTTTTCATTTGTCTTGGATTTCTTCTCTTTCTTTTTCACAGCTACAGACAAAAAGGCACCAATCAAGTCAGTCAAATGTGATTATGTGACTTCCAAGCATCCATCTTATTTTACAATCAAAAGAATGTGAGAAATGCGCTGGGCTCTCGGAACACTGATTCTGGAGTTCCTCGGCACAAAGGAAGGTTGAGCACCAGTGGGAATACATGCAGCCAGTAACATTAACACATTTAATTTTGAGTACCACAGCCAGTGTGGTCACAATGATTGGGGAATAAAAAGCTAATGATGAATTTAGCACCCAAAGTAGAATTTTCCAAAGGATAACCTGGCTGTGCCTACCTTTAGCTTGCTTCTGGAGGTATGCTTTTGAAGGCATCCATTGCAGATTCTGGCATTTCCTCATCCTGGGATAAATGGAACGTAGAGGAAAAAAGATAAAATATGGGTAAAGGGCTGGAAACACAAACTTATTGGGGCTTTTAGATGCAAAACCATTCATTTTTCCTTTAAAACTGTCTAGGGCTGAGAAGCCTTTTCACAAACTTCTGGCTCACATCATCAATTACTCAACTTGCACGTTTGCACAGAGTTTCACCAGAGATAAAGCAATTATGGTGACATCTCTGTCAGTTCCCTTTCTTGTACACTGGGATTTGGGAGACGCAGAAGTCTCCGGACACATTTGAGCGATCTGAAAAGCCATGCCAAGCTCCCTCAAATGCAAGTTTCCTGGAATTCAACAAAAGCTAGACTAAATAGCTGGTGACTGGATCTGGACTTGGTCTGCAGGACAAAGCATCTCCCTCATACGTAAATAACTTCTTTAATTATATGGAGTGGCGCAGCACAGAGTCAACAAATGTTTATTTTTTTCCACAACTTAAATGCCCAATTTTCATGCAATATTAAGTGCGCAATATCTGCTGTACACCAGAGTCACGTTTCTTTTTCCTTTACCTCTTGTAACAGACCACTGGTTTTGAAAACTTGCCCAGGGCCTGGGAAGAGCTGCTGATAGAGGGATGACTTACAGACTGCACTCTGCAGAGTGTTTTCACACAGATGCACACTAGGCAGCAATTCTCACAGCTATGCTTTATAAATAGCTTTCATATCACAACAATCTTTATTTATGCCACTTTGCTTTGCTGCTGTCTCAAACAGATTATGCAGGCTGGTAAAACCAGTCTAATGTAAAGACTAAAGAAAGAATAAAAGAGAGCTCCAAACCAGTGATATTTACGCATAAAAAGGTTTGGATAAAATGATACGAGGGATCAAGAAAAATAAAGTGATATTTGTAACTAAATTCCATGGTGTCCTTCACTACGTGCCAAATATATACTAGAAAAACACTGTATATACACATCATTTAAAAAAAATACGGAGACAAATCAAATTCTTTACAATACACCGCCGGGAAAATAATTTCCAATCTTTTCTGCCATTACTAAACTCTGTAAATGACCCAAAAAAGGAAGTGTGGATTTTTGTACCTGCGGACAGGAGAGGGAGAAGGCCCTAAAGAAAAAGATGCCCACATTTTAGGGCAAAAATACTCAATATCAGTTTGTGTTCTATCACTTGTATTTTCTTTAACCGTCTACTTCTGGAGCAACCGAGCACTAGACAGAGCTTTTCAAACTGGATTCCCTCCACAGCCTGTCTGTTCCGCTTCTGACACAGCGCGACTCTCTCCCTATCATCCCAGGGGCACGGGCACTTACTTCACACCAAAGCAGGGCTAGGCCAAGGAGCTTGTCAGATGCACACTTACTTGCAGCACTGTTTCTTTATGTTACGCCCACCAAACTTGGGTTTATCTAAGCAGTTCGTGCAGACACCACAGTCCTCTGGAACCTGGCACCCTGAACACTGTCCACACCGCCTTGAGCGCCGACCTTTCTTCACTGGAGGCTCCTGGGGTGCCTTGTTTCTGGTAACCGGCTTAATTGGTTTGATAGGTGGAGCAAGGGGCTCAGCCTCTTCCGAGCCAGCTATTGATGACTTATCTGTCATAAAAAAAAAAGTCTGATATGAATTCAGGAGCCATTAAAACCATTTCTGTTAGCTCAGGAATTATCCTTTCCAGAAAGCAGTGGCTCAACCTGCAGAGCCACATAAAAGATGAACACATTTAAGGCTCCAGTCCAGAAACTGACATTTTAAGGCACACGTTTGTAAAAGTAATAGGGGGTAGCAAGAATAGCAAAACCTCTTGCACTAGAAATTTATTTCAAGTGTTCAGTATCTGCTCAACACAGACTTTTCCCTGCTTAATTTCCAACACAGCAGAGTCATTTCTATAGCATTATACACTTACCTATATAGCAAGTAGCCACTAAATTCGGGGGGGGGGTTGCAACAACTGCAGCAGTTTTGCAAATGAAAAAAACTTTGAACTTACCATCATTCCCCATGGAAGACAGAATCTTCTCTCGTTCTTCCCACGGTAAGGCACTCAGAGTAGGCATGTCATCGGGAAATACTGCTCGCTTTCGGCCTAGTGCTACAGCTGCTCTTCTGCAAACATGTTTGATTCGCGGTCCTCGCGCTGAAGTCTCAGAAGAATCGCTCTCTTGACCCTAAATTTCAGGTGTGCGAGAACAAAGGTACTGAGACAGGCACTGCACTAGAACATGTAACAACACATTACTCACACTTCACGTAAGTCTGAATGCATGAAATTAGATGTTCAAATCAGCAGGTCTTTAAGAATTTGACACGAAGCTGGGTTTCACAGCTGCTTTTTCAGTTTCAATTGTCCAATACAGAGCAACCTAACTCAAATTAAAATGACAGTTTCTATGGCCAACTTTAATCTCTGATCACAAGAAACTGAATGTCTAAATGTTATTATTTCCTCACCTAAAATGCACTGGTACCAAAAATTTAAAGGTGGCATTGACAGATTAGGATAAAACGGGCTAATACTTTACACCAGTCTAACTGTCTTGACAGAAGGTAGAGGGACAAATCAAGCTGCTGTCCAATGGCCTTGCAGCCAGCAAGACACATGAAAATATGACTAAGTAAATAAAATTTAAATAAAAAATAAGCATTACTGCCAGAAAAAAGCATGCGAGAGAAAATACCAGGGGGAAAAAATGCAGTAAGAGCCCTTGAAAAAGGCATGGGTAACACAGAAGAGAAAAATTAGCTCCCATTTTTGTCCAATGCAATATCCCAAGGGAACTTGATCCTTTGTTATAAGACAGATCACAAGAACACGAACCTCAAAAAAAAGAGAGAAAGAAATTTCCGTAATTTTGGCAAGTCGGGAAATGGGGCACCAGAAACGCACCATGAAATAAAAAGATTTAAGTTCTGTGGTTTAGCCTTTACAAACTCAAACTATGGTAGATTAATACATCACTCAATTTTAGCCTAAGAAACCCAGCAAGGGAAGACACTGCATTGCTTCCAAAAACCATGTGCAGCTCCATCTTGAACCAACTTCAGCAGCTTTTTCTCCCCCTCAACTTCTGCCCAGAGCTTCTTATTTTCAAATTAGGTACCATCTGCTGCATTAACAGTTACTCACTTTGATATACTACATTCTTCTGTTTTAGCATCTAAATGATACTAGCAATTTCCAATTCAAGTACGCCACAAAAAGGTATTGTGAAGCCATCATGAACACAGAAGAAAAAAAAAAAAAAAAGATACCTGTGCTTTTGGCTGATCTGTCTGTTTGAGGGATTTGCTCTTCTCAATTTTGTACAGCTGGGCTTTTGCCTTTTTCAGGAGACTGGCAACCCTCTTATCAGTCATTGGAAGTTTGTCTGCTTGAGCCAACATAGAGCTGATGGAGGAAGCGGAATGTTTAACAGTGCTTGATGAAGGTGCAGAAAGGCGTACAGCTCTCTCCTTCTCCAGAGATGGAGCAGCAGAACCAAGCTCCAGATCTGTTTTTTCTAACACCCCTCTACCTCTTTTGGGTATTTTGGTTTTGACGGCTGTCGTCTCTACAAGAGCTGCAGCAGGAACATCTGCCATGGGATCTATTGCTGTAGACTTTTTCCGCCCTGCAGCTTTTTTTGCAGAAGATGATGCTACAACATCTTCACTGACAACCTTTTCTTTGGACACTCTGCCTCCAGGGAACAGAGCAGAGCTGCTCTGAATGTCTGACCCCTTTTTCCTTTTCTCTTTCCTCGACTCACGCTTATTCTCTTTTTCTCTTTCTCGGTCTCTCTCGCGGCTTTTGTCCTTCTCCATGCTTTTGTCAATGTCTTTGTCTTTGGACAGTTCCTCTGCAGCCCTGTCTTTGTTTCTCCCTCTCTCTGTCTGGTGACTTGATGTGAACCAGGGAAAGAGAGGAGCAGGACTACCGGATGAGAAAGGCTCTGCTGGAGTGCTAGTCTGCTTCCTTGGTCTCTGGCTTCTCTCTGCTGATTCCCCAGACTGACTCAGGGAATGGGAAGAAAAAGTAAAAGTTGAATTTAAGGCACTAGTGGCAAGAGAACTAACAGACATGCTAGTTAATGAGGAAGGGACAGATGACTGCGATGTGAGCATTGTCAGGTCAGTGGTACTAAGTCTCCCACTTCTCGTCCTCATGGAATGCGAAGGAGATCTGGGCTCGGATCCAATGGGGCTAAATGCTTTTCTCCTTCGTTTCCTAGAAGACGCACTTGCTGCAGAGGTCCCTGCGCTGGTTCGGCCGACAGAGGAAGGCAAGGTCACGGACTCAAAGATTCTGGAGTGGGCCTCGCTTGGGGTGAATCTCGGAGCCCGCAACAGAGGGCTTCTTTTGTGCATATCGAATCTGGTTCCAGAGTGAAGAGAAAACAAACGCGCTGGAGCAGCAGCACCAGGTGTTGAAAAACCAGATGCAAAGCCAACATCTTCAGGAGTCAGTGGCGGGGGTCTAAAATTATCGAATATTGGTTTACGGATGAGACCTTCTTTGGCATACTTTGCTGAAGAAAAGTACTGTGGTTCTGGCCTAGAATGCTTTAGAGAGGTCCACCTGAACGTTGGTTCTCGCAAAATTGACTTGCGTTTTTCTTGCATGGGTGCAGCAGAAGCGGGAAGGAAGGGCGAAGCCAGCGGTATTGTTGGAGGCATGATCCAGGGTGTGTGGTCTGCGATGCTGGAAGCTGGCTGGAGCGGTGGCGGAGGAGTGAGCAAAGGCGGGGGAGGAGAGGAGGAGGACTGTTGCTGGGACACGCCTGGCAAGGCTGACAACTTTTTAGCCGCCCTCTGGCCGAAACTTCTTTCCGAGATCGAAAACCTCCTGTTTCTCCTGTCGGCGCCATCATTTTCTGGGGACTGAGAAATAGGCAAAGAGGCATGAACTTCTGGAGTATTGCTCCGCTCTTCAGAAGGCGTCTGCATCTCCTCAGATGCCTGCGAGTCTGTGGACGTGTCGACACTAGGGCTACTTGATCGTGAACTATCTGAAGAGATCTGAGATGAGTGCTGAGAAGCAGCGCTTGATTTTTCACTGGACCCACAGGATGTAGCACTAAACCTACTGTTTGGTGTGGACTCTAGTCTAGCTATTTTGATAGGAGGGTCATAATCTTCATCTTCAATGAACCGCTTGGGCGTCTTTATGATCCGCGAAGAAATAGCGCTCACGACTGGCATGATAAACTGACGGATATTTTTGAGCTGGGTTCTTCCCTTTCTGCCCTGCAGTTTAGCTGCTTCTTTCTCGATCTTCTTTTGTGCCCCTTTCTTTGCTCTCTGCAAGAGCTGCTTAGCTATTGTTGCGTCTGTCCTCTTTGTGGAAGGAATAATCCTAACAGGCTTAATCCTGCGAGGACTCTGCCTAACAGCACTCTTTTCTTCTTTTGTGAGTGGTGGCGTACCATCTTTCTCTTTACGTACCCTTTGGGGTTTCTCCAGCTGCGAATTTATGACTAGCGCTGAAGCAGTCTTTAAACGTTCAGAAGATGGTGGCCTTCCTCTCCTGCGAACAATCTGAACCCCCTTCCTCCCAATCTGAAGTTTCCCTCCAGTCTTAAATTTAGATTTCAGTGGGGAGAGTTTACCAGTTCTTAATTTCTTGATTTTTGCAGCTTGCTGAAATGTAGTGGACGGTGCCCTTTTTATTTTCTTCAGGCTCTCTTTTTCTTCTTTGCTCCCCTTCTGAGCATCTGATGCATCCTTCACTTGTGATACTTTGAACTTCACACTGCTGAGTGTTGGAGGCCTGCCTCGTCTCTTTTCCCCACCTTTCAATTCTTTCTTCTTTATTTTTTCCATGGATAGAGTTTCAGACTTGCTTGGAGGAGAACACACTGACGAGGAGTCTGAGAGAGCAGCCGAACTTCGATCAGAACTGCTCCTGGGTCTCCCACGAGGTTTTCGTGGACTAGACTTAACTGAGGAGGAAAGAGAGAACGTAGAGTGCACACTCAGCTTTTCTGTACACCGGTATCGCGCTACCCAAGTCATATCAGAACTTACGCAACACAAGTCACATGAAACAGGCTGTCAAACATTTTCAATCCAACTGCTATTGATACAACTGTCACGAAAACTTGTACATGAAAGAAATCCTTTAAAATTCTTCTATAGCAAGGATCTAGTCACATTTCAAGAAAAGTTCAAATACTTTTCAATCAAAAGGACCCATTTTAAAAACAATATCAACATTTAAGAAGGCAACAGCAAATAACAAAGATTAATTTTTGAAACACCATCTGCAAAGAATGGAAAAACTTCAAAAAAAAAAATACAGTTTTTCTAAAATATTTTTCTACACATTACTAAGAATTGCATGCGGAGAAAAGTAGACTTGAGAGAGATTTTTACTGTCCTAAGATTTTTTTCTTGCCTTGATTTTGGAATCAACGCACTCTCTCTGGCCGCACTTAAAGTAGGCGCCGGGCAGATGTCATGCACCTTTAGCTCAATCTGCTACCCGCCAACCCTGCTGCTCTAGTTCTGGGTCTCCACACAACTGCCAAAGCACTTCACCCTTGCCCTCAAACACCCGTATAATTCTGGGACAAAGTTTCTTCGTAGCAGTTACTGCTCATTGGTCAAACTGTACAGAGTATTGCAAAGGGGATATTTATCCACTGGAATCTAGGTTAACACCACCAAAATGGTGATCTGACCTAGACTACCAGAGGTGAAAGGTCAATAATCTCTCACAAAATGGAAGGTGGAGCTGTTTGGTTTACCAAACATTCAACCGTTTCGTATCAAGAAGCTACTACTAGCTGGAATCGAAGACCGACTAGAACAGAGTTTACTGAAAGCGGTTAGGCAGTGCTGAGAGCATCTCCGAAGGACTTCTTTATGAAATTAAGTGCCACTTTTGTGTCAGTATATTCTGACAACTGAATGTCTTCCCTAGCATGAGATTTGCACCCATGTCTGTAGCTACTTATGCCTAATATGGTTAAACACAGCCCTGAAACTACATCATTAACATCAAGATAATCTCCTCACTGAAATGCTGGTCTCATACTTCAGTGTCTCATCCCCTACTAGTATTACTCACTTTCGCACACATCTCCTTTGCTTCATAACAGATCAGACATAGTCTGTCCGAGAGCCTGCCTTAAATCACTGCCAACTTGAATCAGGAGATGGGATATGGATTTAGTGTTATTGTTCCACAAGTAAAATTGGGAATTTAGAAAACCCAAAAACCAACCCCCCCAAGCAAACAACAACAACCTACAGTGAAGTCATTACCCTACACTTGTGAACAGAAAACAAATACAGGATTTCTAAGCTTCATGATGGACTTAAACCTGACTAACTGTCATGGCTTTTCTCGTTTTAAGAGCCATCTCATGCACAAAAGAAAAAAAGTCAGACTTGTTCCAAACATCCCCCTAAGGGAAGAGGAAGGATTCTGCACTCCTTTTCCAAACCCCAAAACATCTTCAAATTATTTAGAAATAAGCTAAAAACCTCCGGGTAGTAGGTTATTAGGAAAAAAACCAACCAAACAAAAAAGCAATCATGGGCTTTAAATCTACCACGAAGCCTTGTATAAAGATCAACTCTGCATGCATGCTGAATAGTATTATTTCAAGGTCATTCTCTCCATAAAAGTGGTGGAAGAGACCAGAAAAGTTCAAACCTTTTTATTGGAACTGCTGCTATGTACCACTGAATACCAACAGCAGTTTGTAGGTTAGTAATAAGAGTTATAACAAGGATTATCTAGCTGCTGAGATCTTGCAGAGTAAAACCAATGGGAGAAAGGAAGCAATGTGCATCAGGTGGTATAGGGAGTACTACAGTATCAGGCAATAGCATAATTTCATAGGATTCCTTTCTTCCCCTCCCTTCCACCGCAATCCCACACACCGAGCACGTGAACAAACTGAAATGGAAGCAGAATGGGAACGTTTTTCCTTTGCAAACATAATATTCTTCAGAATAAGTGGATAGTTGCCCCTTTTTTCCTTCAAAATAGAAAAAAAAGAGTGAAAGCTGTCCAAATTCAAATCCTTTGGAGGTTTTTCTTGGGAAAAATGTTAACAGTCCAAGATCAACCATTGGAATTTAATAATCTTTTTGAAATCTTAACCACTGTATTTCAGAAGTCAAAGTAAAAAATACCATGCTACATCTTAGAAAGTTAACAAGTTTAAATTTTAATTTGTCCATTTTAGTCAGCTCTCTCACATTTGGCCATGACATTTAGCAACGTACAATTATAGATAGTGATCTATAACAACAACAACAACAACAACAACAACAACAACTGATTAAAAGCGCCCCTCATTAACTGTAGCAGAATGACAGGCTCCAAAGCTACCACGGAAAATCTAGAGGATGTCAGTGAGGTAGTTATATTAAAATCCTCTGGTATTCCCCATGTATATTATGAAGAGATACCTTCATAAGCACAACACGCTGCTTGTGAAATGTGGGACTCTGCCAAGGGGCAGCTCTTCAAAAAAAACGCTGTGGAAGAGAGGTCTACAAAGCACAACCCCTCACGAACAAACCTTCTGTAAGCAGACTACTCGGAGCAGAACACGCTCAGTTATTTTGCAGTAAGACCTCATAATATACATTATTATTATTAGAAAAAACTTTTGCAACGTAAATAGTGGGAGGCATCAAAACACCATTACACGTAAGCAACAGACAGTCGCGTAACCCGAACGTACCCGTGGGGGACTTGGTGGGACTTCGTACTTTGACTTCTTCATCTGAGCCAAAACCTAGGAACTGCTCATCCTGGAATGAAAAAGGGATTTTAGCATTCAATGACATGAATAATAATGTTTCAATATTTAACTAGGCAAAAAAAAAAAAAAAAAATACTAAAAGGTTCCACTGAAGTAGAAGAAACATCTCTTTATAGCAACAGGTGTTCCTTCAGCAAACAGTCGCTAAATAGATAGATAAATAAATAAATAAACAAATAACTACTACCATCTAGCCATGGGGTTACAGCCAAAGAATGTTTAGAGACGTTCAGACAAAAACACCACTTGCAGATGACAATATACCTCAAGTACATGGATTCTCTTTTTACTTCCAAATACCAAGACAGACCTAAGCCAAACGATGCTTCGCAAAATACCCTAAACGCCTTGTCCACACAGGAAAGCATTCAAAATATATATTTATTTTTCCACTACATTGGAAAAACTATAGCAGTGTGCCCACACAGTTTTTTATGAAAACTGTGCTATATCCCTTGCAAATCCCTGAGTTCATATAGCTTTCTAACTTTTTAAAATAACCTCACAGTACTCTGGGAAGATATCCACAGCACAATTTTCCACGATAAGGCTCTACTCATCCTGGCACTTAGGCCACAGTGAGTTGCGGGATGTCTAACAAACTGCAGGGATTCTGGGACAGGCTCAGAATAAACTCCCAGGATTCCTTTCCTTGCATCTCATACTTCAGCTTTTTAAAGCAAGCACCGGTTTTAAACCACTGTCTGACAGCACAGAACACATGCTTCCAAGTGCAGTAATCCTGACAATCGCTGATATGAAGAGTCCATTCTATCAAGCGTATTGGCAGCCGAATGGCTTTGCATGGGTTGGAAAACAGGTACAGTAACAAAGCTACAGTAGGATAAAATGAAGACGTTGATGCTGCTGCTGGACAGTCTTCTGAAGCAGCTTCTCTTGAAACGATGCTTCTGAGCTCAGCCAGCTAGTAGACGGGTACAACACAGCTGGGGTCCAAAACTAGGATGATCGATGACAGCAACAGAACCTCAGGATGTGGAAGAGAACTTCTCTAGAAGTGTCCACACAGCTCCCCCCAAAAAAGCAATGCAGCAGCTGCCCTCAGTGCAGAGGAGTATGTGGACATCACCATCTGGGAGCATGTCCCCCAAGTCCACTACCAGCCTACAGCTGACTGGTTTGTTGGTAGTAGATCAACTGAGAGACAGATGTCATGCAGGAGAGTACTTCTGTTGAGGAGGAGGAGGAGACCTTTGGCCATGACATTTAGCAATGTACAAGTGGCTACTGATGGGTTAATGCAGTGGCTACTGCATAGCGGGGGTCCCCAAAATGACAGGGGCAGCCGATAGGACCCATGCCACATGCCTATTCTCTGCCTAGACACCAAGTCTCCATGCTCATCAACAGAAAGGTGTATTTTCTCTCCAGTGCTGCAGGACTCAATCGATCACCATGGGAGACTTGTTAGCACTGGGCTAAAAACATCATGAAAGGCTATAATGCCATGATCTTTAAAAAGTCTGGTCTTATAGAACACAGGGAATTTGAACTCCCAAGACCCTCAGGGAAACGGATGGTGTTGCGATTCCACTTTCGTTCTGGGATATCTGGTTTCCGCCAAGCAGCTATAGAACGACAGTGAGGAGCACAACTGGAAAACTGAGAGGAAGATGGAGACATCTCTGAAAAGGCAAAATGCTTTTAAACAGCCTGCCTGCTGGGGCACGTAGATTTTGCTTTCTTATGCACAAAATCTGGACTAGCAACGGGTAAGAGGTAAAGGTGCAAAAACAACAACTATCTGTATGGCCCGAGTAGCCAGCAAGGGCCGTCTCCAGCTGGTCGTGAACTGGTGTCTGGAATATGCCATGCTTCTACTTTCAGGCCAAGACGTAATGCTGCAAAAGGAAAGTGCTGTAACCAAGCAAATTAATGCAATGCTCTCATGTCAGGATCCCATTAGAAACTGTTACAGGCAACTGTTTCTCAAAGCAATTGCTTCAGTCAAGTCCTACGCAGAAGTCTTTACTGATATAATAATGCACATTTAAAAATCAACAAAACAAAACATGCCAAAAAGGACAGAGCGTTCACATATTTATTGAAGGACTTGGAAAAACAAGTGGAAGTCGTCTTTGTCTTGGATGGAAACCGCACAAACAGGACGTGCCTTTTGGATAAATGAAAGTTAACTCCCAGTATCCTGTGTTATCCACAGGATTTAGGACTAGGCTAGACTGGGCAGTTGAGTGTGAACAGTGTTATTACATTATCCAGGAGCACTGCTCAACCCCTGCCCCGGGTCTAAGGTTCCTTCCTACATATCCTCTGTATCCATATGCTTCTTTGAGAGCCTCTCCAACTTCTACTTTCTTCTGCCTTGGGAGCTTTCTGTTACGATGCCATCCCAAGGGCCAGTGAAAGTGTCCTCCTCTGTCATCTCACTTCTCCCAAGGTTTGCCAGGCCTCCGAGAGCTGATATGCCCTGGGTCCGTGCAGGCTACGGAACGTCGGTTGCTAAGGGAACAAAGAAATAGAATAGAAATTATTTTCCTAATAAAAAGGTCCCCATGCTTATGGTGATAAAGCGTTGCTTTGTCACTATTCTGTAAGCTGGTCCCATCTATTCTTCCTAGTCTGGAGTGTGCAGGGAGATGTCAAAACACTTCACCTTCCTTTTATCCCGTCCCTGTGCCCAAGCTGGGAGCAATACAAATGCAGTAAACAGCTCCAACATCACCCCCGGATGGAGCAGCATTAATCCTGCAGCAGTTGTGCTACATCTGCATCGCTCTCCATGTGAGCACACCTCAGGGCAGACCAGAACTGCTGCTCATCATGGAGCAAGAGCACCCCTCCCCCTTCTGAAATGGCTCCAAGTGCATGTTTGTTCAAACCCTCTGAAGTAACTGGTTTGAACCCAAAAACATCACGTGCTTTGGAGGCTTTAGCAGTGTTGCAGTGATGCGGCAGCCATAATGGTCCACAAATGATCCAAGAACCAAGCATCTTTGTGGCTGATATCTTTTACTGGACCAACTGCGTGGCTGGATCATTAGACAAGCTCTCAGATACAAGAGTGACTTCCATTCAAAAGCTTGTCTAACATTGTCCCAACTGTGCAGCTGGTCCAATGAAAGAATCACCCACAAAGATCCTTGTAAGCCTACCCATTGTGAAATGCCTGAAGTAGACTGTCAAAGTCAGGCAGCAGAGACAACAAAGGTAGCTTAAAAGCTGAGAGCATGAAGTAAACTACTTCTTACTGCTGCTCCTTCTGAATTTGTCACTGCGATAAACATCTTCTGCACAAAACATCTGAGGTTTTGGCTTCCACAGCACTGCCAACCTGAGAAGTGGGTAAAGGAGGTGAGCAGTCATCCAGGAGCAGGAGGGATAATTAAGCATGACAGGCAGGACAGGGATGGCACTTTGGATATTTCAGGAAAATAAGCTTTGTCTCCAACCTGGATGCCTTTGGAAGACTGGCTTTGGAGATGGCCAGGGAGAGAGAAGTCCACAGACACTGTCAGCCTAAGCTGTTGTAGGTAGGGCTGTGTCCCACCAAAGTCTTTAAAACCTCCCCATACAATTGTATTGTAATACAGCACAAATACTTACTATGCAGCCCCCGCATCAGTTTGAAGCTAGATCTCAGGTCAGGGGTTGGGGTGCCATCTCCAACAATTAGGTCTGTGGCTCAGGGCTGGACATGCTGGTATCTTGACTCTTCAGGAGAACCTCTTCCTGGTCACGGTTCCTTCCACAGTCAGTTCCAAACTCTCTAGGATCCCAAGGAGGTTTACTGGTGCCCTCAGTGACAGAGTCTGGTCCAGCTGCTCACAGCATGGACAGGTAACTGGGGGGGAGGGGAGGGGGGTCTGTTTCTGGAGATGTGTCAGAACAGCTTGGTTGTGATGTGGCACTTGGCCGTCTCCCGAATACTCTGACTCTCCTGGATTTGCTCTGCCAGTGGCTCTGGCAGACTAGTAACTACAGCCCAGATGGGACTGGATATATGCTCTTCCAAACTGCAATGCAGTAAAGGGTCATTTGCCAGGATCACACACAGCTGCTCTAATCAGTATGTAACCCCAGGTACGTGAATCCACGTGTGCTGAAATCACAGATAAATATGAACCGAAACCTCACTTGCATGTCTGGGCACACAGCAGTTTTAGCCACACAAAAGTTTAACTAGGGATAGAAGGAACAACTTCCCTGTGTAGACAAGGCCTATGCAAGCATGCCCTATTTCCAGGCCAGACTAAGAAGTATTACATCAGAACAGTGCTACTATACTTCAGCTTTTCTGCTACACCCATTTCATGGCTAACATGTCACGTTCCCTCGTATTATCGCAGCTCCGAAGGTCGATTTCAGGAATGCTCATTTTTGGGTATCGTCGAGTGCCCGCAGCTTGTAAACGCACACAACTCTGACCCAAACCTCTCCGAGTTAGGGAGGTCATGCAACCACCTCCTCTGAAGATGGATGTTTACCATCTGCTCTGCACTGCATGAATGGCAAACACCGATCCACAGGAACACAGCAAGTACCATCCAGTACTGAACCCTGCTTACCCGCAGGGAACTACGCTGGAAAAACAGCAGAAAGCCATCTTCAGTTTTACCCACCAAGACTCTAAGCCCATTCCAATCACGTTTCAGGCTAGGGCTTAAAACAAGTGACACGGTTTGTACTTATGGATGACCTCTCCTTGTGCTACATTATATCTACCTAACTACCCTAGACTAACTAGAGTAGCTAAGGTGCAAATCTGCCCTGCCTTCCTCTTATCCACAGCCAGGGGAGGCTGCTTATTATACTACTAGATCCAAGGATCAACTGACACTTTTGAATTGAACTTGAAGCAGCATTAGGGGTCAATGGGAAAGTACTTGATCCTCCTACAGGTCAGCCTTGAAGGATGAACACTGACAACTTGCTCTCCCTAAACAAAATGCTCAACTGTGTGTTTTCAGGCCTCTTCATTATAAACTGCCTTATTCAATGTGGACATTAAGCCATTTTGGAAAAAAATCATGGGACAACATTGACTTAAATGTCAATACATAAGCAATACCAGTTTCTCTACCTTCAAACCCAAACAGATCTGTTGCCCCAGGAGCCTGCTGAAGATCAGTAAGCTGCTGGCAGACAGCCGGCCAGAACTAAGCAAGCCAGAACCAGGAAGAAAAATGTTTGGAAGAGACACCTTCCACCAGCTCTGCAACAGCCCTTACGTGAGCCTGCCTGCAAATGGGCAGATCAATCCATGGCCCACAGCCCTTAGCTCGGCACTGGTTCTAGCCATTGATAAGCTACTGCGTGTCAAAATCACCTATAATTTGCGACTGCCAAAAAACCCCCAAAAACCCATTTTAGATGATTGCCCTGGTAAGGACAACCTATTTCCTTGCAACATCCAAGCTGGATTACTGGAACTCAGTCAAAAGCAATTCCTCAAAAAGTTGTCAGCTAGCTCCAAATACATGCCTCATGCCCATATACATGACACTCAAGCAACATCAGCCGCTGCTCTGCTCACGTGGGTTCATCATAAAGCGCCGCATCAATGAGGAGACAGCTGTCCTCATTTGTAAAGGTCCTAAAAAGGCACCAGACCAAGTTATTTATTTATTTTTAAACCTACTCTTACTAAGGGACCAACTCTTCAATCAACCGAAGCTTCAAATAAAACAAACCAACCATCTCAAGGGTCACACGACTGACCACAACAACAGAACTTTCTCCACAACTGACCCCAAACTACAAAACTCTTCCAAAGGTCAAGAAAATAAAGTGTTCAAAAGAATGGGCCACAGATCTCACTGCCTTCAGGATACCTCTTTAAATGGCTGTTTCCATAACTGCAGCAGGAAAGAAGGCGAACTCTTGTCTATACCTAGACAAAGGGAAAGGGGCTGCAACTGGCTCACAACCGAGTCAGTGTTGGGCCGGACGACAGTGGAGGAACGCCCTGGTTCAGCAGAGAAGGCTGCCGATTCAGCAGGTGGCAGTTATGGGAAAGTCAGTAGCAAACCCTTGCTCTTATAGGACATTGGGCTTCTGTTAAGGCAGACTTTTCAGGTAAAGTGCAAAACAAGCCTTACTCACCTGTTGTTGTACGAGATTTCACAACATACTTTAAGAGCTGCTTGTTAAATACTCGAGTCCTGCCCAAATTTCACCTTTGCCAGATGAGGGAGACCATAACTGCTCAAGTAGCCCGCAGCTTATGCGAGCTCACGGTTCTCTGAAGAACGTCGGTCACAAGGCGCCAGCCACATTGCCCTGCCTATTGCCCAACTTCAGACTAACGCGGTTCTCTACCTCCCAATAACGGGGAGGGGGAACACAACCTCTGACACTGCCAACGCGTTACTGTTCAACTTGTCGCCTTGCTAGGCAAGCCCAGGGGAATCAAAACAACAGAACAGATTTCTCCCCCCTAACCACAGGAGGCTGTTTAAAACCATACAGACCTTCGCGCCTGTGCCTTGTATGAAGGAAAGACTTCCTAATCCTTACTTCTTGCAGGGTCAGCAACAAAGCCTGTTGCAGTCAGCGGAGTGGAGAATGTGTCACGTGTGTCCACCCTTAAAGACAAGGGAACCATTCCAAAGTGTCACTGCCTGGGAAGTAACCCGCGTCACAACCGGCCATTCCCAAACCCCACAGATTGGGAACCAGTTCACACCTGTGCAGAAAGTGCTGCTGCTCCAACACCAGCACGTGGAAGTGAGCATCCAGCCCGCTAGACCGCATAGAGGGCGACTGGGTGGGGAGAGAGGAGGAAGGGAAGGAGTGCTTGCACCCATGCTTTGGGGTCCCAGAGGGTGGGTGACCTGCAGCTGGGGAAGTTCTCACTGTTCTGCTGTCCCTTTTCTCCTAAACATGAGGTCAGTAAACTTCAGAGGCTTGCAGTTGACCAAAAAATGCACGGTGCTTGCCTGACTTCAGTGGGGAGGCAGAGGCAGGTGAAGGGTTGCTTAGACATGCACTTTTGGGTTCCCAGGGGCTGGGGAGATGAGGAGGGGGTGCAGTCAAGTAGGGAGTGAGGACACAGCTGTTTTTTAGAAAGAGGCTTTTATTGAACAAATGGAATAAGGGAGCAGCAGTCCTCCTTGGCTCTTAGCTCAGAAGCTGCGTGTTAGCTGTTTGGGACTGGATGGCTAGTCTGGCCAAAGCTTCCTGCTGCTGAACGCACAGTCCACATGCATACGCTATGCACGCAGCAGTCCATGTACCTGAGAGTTATCCAAGCTATGGGTGGCTTGGTTACATTTGACTCAAGTTAAACAAGCATGAGGCCTAGGCATTTTCATTTACCCCCCACCCCCACAACAAGAGCAAAGTCTTGTGTCATCACTTAAGTCAAGGAGCTTAGGCTATGGGTGCTAAGAGCCCTATGTGTTATAAGCTAGCATGTGGCCTGGATGGGGACTGTCCCCCAGGAATACTTTTAGCAGTTCTTCAGGATTACAACTAGTCACTCTAGAATGGTCCTTGTCTGTCAAAGCCTTCTGTAAAAAAAAAAATAAAAATAAGTGAATAAGCTTCTAAAGCTACTCTTAGTCTCCATTTTAAAAAGTTACCACTAAGCAAAACAAACAAACAAACAAAAAAAATCCAACACCATGTATTTCACTGCTGTACAGTGCCTATACTCATCAGGAATTAATTTAAGTTGCCATGTGTACATGGTTTGTGATGGGAAAATTATCCCAACACAGCTCCACACAAAAGTTAGGCCACCCCTCCACAAGGAATTTGGAGGTTGACCCAAAAAATGTTTCTGAAATGGTGCATTTTTAACTCCTTCAGCACTTGCAACGCTGTTCAGCACCACACAGAAAGGTCTTATTAAAGGCCAGGTTAGAAAAAGAAATGAATGATCTTCATTACTGAATAACTTAACTATGCCACTTTCTAAACAAAAACCCATTCCAAGTTCCAATACAAAAATGGTTAAGTGTTGTCTCTGAATACATTATTTCTCAAACAAAGGTAATTTGTATAAACACAGAGCTGTTCCAAGAACAAAGGGAGCCACTGGTAAGTGAATATTCAAAAATAAAGGTATTCTATCCTGACTTGCAAAAAACCTGCCCTTTAGTCTTCAGGGCTCTGATGTACTGCAAGTCAGTGAATTCTATTTTCTGTGTTGTTCTCGCAGAACAGAGCAATGTATTACAAACATCTAAGTATCACCTGGGAAACATAGGGAGACATTGCTAAAGGCATGAAATGCAATGCTAGCAAGAGTTGCCAGGCTATATAAATAATGGAAATAGAGCCAGAAAGAGAGAAAACCTAACACACCTTTTATGTAGCACACACTAAAAGCTGAAGAGTTATCTTGAGCTTGGATTATACTGACTTTCACCAAATTCCTTTTTTTTTTTTTTTTTTTTT